GAGGGATGCACATGGAGGCAGCACATGCTGCCCAAAACCAGAGCCTGGCTGGCCAGAGCCACATTCTGGTTGTAGGCCAGGCTCCCAGATGCAGGAGTGATGTGGCTGTAGCTTCTCTGTCCCCCGGGGAAGGATAGTGGGGCCAGCACAGTTGGTGGCCCCAGCCTCCCCTACCCCACCTGGGGTAACCTGCTGCATGCCATATGGCACATGGCATGGGCATTCCCCAGGGACATCTAGCATCAGCACACCTTGTGCTGCTGCTAGTTGTCCTTGAGGAATCAAATGTATGCGCTCATCTGGATGTGGCCATTGAGAGCTGACCTGCCAGTGGCTTTGGTATAATTTTGTATTAACATTTGTGTGCTTACATCAGTGATTCTCAACTTTTCTGGGCTTGAGGCAGCCCACTATAACTTCTGAGAATTGAGTGGCATCCAGTTTCAAAAACTAATTTATAGATTACAGTACTTACCTCCTTGCAAAGGGAATGGAGGATCATTTAGGTATGGACAAGCCTGACCCTGCGCTTATCTGCTTGCTTTATCTGCTTACCACCTTTCACCTGCTTACAAAATCTGATCTTGTTAAATTGCAGACTAACCCCAAACAGTGAACAGAAGCCAACAAACAGTGAAAACAGTAGAAGTAGCGGAACCAAACATGCATAACAATTAGGTTATGCTGATGAAGAATACATTACCATTACACAATATAGAAAGTCAAACACGGAGAACATAAGCAAAGTTACAGTTATATACTGAAAGTGTAAACTGGCATTTGATGTGAAGATAGGGAATCCATCTGGGTGTTTGAGTAGTATGATTTAAGAGCACTGAAATGTGAATGGAGGTGGTCTTAACTGGCAATATGCCTGACTTTTTCAGATTAAATAGATAGGAAAGGGGCTTTAGAGTGATGCTGTAGCCATGATGGTTTAGGAAATGTACAAGAGGTAAACATCCTTTTATGATATCTCTTACAGGACCAACTGTATAATTGAGAGGAAAATTAGTGCTTTTGAGCACAAACTATCCTAAAAAAGATACCAAGCCAGAGACATACTTTGTAACTAGGCAGCAGATCCAAACTTTCTGCTAAAAAAGCCTGACGACATCTATCAAATGCAACAAGAAAAGGTGGAATCAGCTTACAATAAGGGACACCTAACAGAGAGCATGCAAGAAAGGAGACCTGAGGAAAGGCAGTTTGAGCTCAAAAGCTTGTTTAAATTCTCTCCCAAATATACAATTAGTAGTAAAAGGTATGACAAAAAACAAACAAACCTTGTTTATTGATAGGAAATGCATGGGACATTAGCTTCAAGGTAATGGTGGTTTTTTGTTTTTGTTTTTTTCCTGAATGGCTCTCATACACCTACATAAGTGGAGAACTTGGAAAATAGTCACTAACTTATATGACTGACACTACTTGGAATGAACTACACTAGTTGATGAATTTATTACTAATGAGTAACATGATCACCTTCACTTTTGCTACTGAAAGTTGTGCTGCATCATTTTTATACAGTTTCAGTAAAGTCTGTCTGTAGCTACAGAACATAAAAGTACATCTACAGTGTACCTTTTACTTCCCCCTCCCGCCCCCACAGTAGTTTAAATACATATACAATTAGCTTATTTTGATTAAGCTACCATGCCCCCATCCCTATCTCTTGGCACAATATTAGCATACTAATTAAACATATTTCCTTAGCAGTTTTGTTATGACAATAACAAAATACCAAACATTTTAGCTGTACAGCAAATCCACAGCAATAAATAGGCAAAGAGAATCAGAGACAATGAGAGAACTCAAGGTAAATAAGGAAGAGTTTAAACCATTTGAATGCAAATGAGAGAAACAATGAGAACCCGGAAGCAATAAATGAATATTAGAGAAAGATTAAAGAAAACTATAAGGAACAGAGAGAAAGAGAAAAGTAGCTATTTATTTAGCAGTAGTAAAAGCTTGGTCTTGGATTTAGTCAAAGTTGCAGTATGGTCTTCTATTTCAGAGGCCTGACTACCTAATTTTCTGAAGTCAAAGAGAAACGTCTGAGTATATATGAAGAGATAATCAGGCTGCAGAAGTCCACAATACCACCAAATAATTTGTGGAAGTAGAATAAAGATAGATGTAAGGTTTTGGAGAAACCATCCCTCCCTCTGCCAAAATGCAAGTTTTTCTTTTGCTAAATCTAGTTATAAGGGACAAGGAGGATGGTGTTCTCAATAGGCTATAATGAATCTGGTTATATGTTACCAAGCACTATTCACATACAATAGTCAGCATCTATTTCCTAATGTAAGAGATAAAGCTGGATTTCTAGACATCTCTGAATTCAGAATTATCTTGGCCACAGCAGCATGCAAAAAGTAATTTCAGAATGAAACTGCATGTGATAAACATTAGTCAGTTCAGCCTTAGAAGAGAAAAGGAGCAGAGCAGCACTGCAGCAGTACTGCCATAGCAAAATAAGCACAACTGGGCCCCTTCTTCACTTAGGTGTGTGCCTAGTTTGACTATGCATTAATATGGCTCTGTTGGACAGTCCTAATTGTCACTCAGGCCCCCTCTACACATTACAGGTATTACACAATTAAGTGGTTAATTGTATAAGGAGCCGCTTGGCTGAGGCTTCCTGTCCATCTGCCCAGAGTAATGTGGAAGAAGGAGCAGCAGTCACTGCAGCTGTAGGCAAGGGAAGCAGAAGAGACCCACCAGCCCCAGCCAGTGTGCAGCTTCTAGTGGAAATGTTTCTGGTGCGGCTGCAGCTGCCTGGGTGCTGCTCTGCTCCCTTCACCTCCCAGTGACAATGTGAGCCTGGCTGGCTGCAGCCTCACTGGGAACAGCCCCACCAGAAGCCATGAGCTGGCTGGGGCCCTGGCCCGGGCGCAGGCCCGGGCCCAGGCCAGGACTGGCAAGTGTGGGTGGGAGTATGGCACTGGCTGGCCATGGCAGGGCTCATCCCCATGTAGAGCATTGCAGGGGCAGCTGCTGACTGGGCAAGTTCTGTTGTATGCATCCCCCACCTCCCTCTCACCCCCAACTGGCAGACCCACCCCCCAACATGCACATTCGGCCCCCTCCACGCTCCCATACTCCACCATCCCCTCCCCATACCTGTGGCTGGCTCCTGGGTAGACCCCCCCAACATGCAAATGCCCCCTCCGCACACCCACATACACCCCCCTGCTGCCACCACACCCTCCTCCCCTGCTCCCACAGGGCAGGATGTTCAGGTTGCGGATCACGCCTGTCCTGGTCCAGAACAGTGCTCCCCACACATTCAAAGCCCCATAGAGAGTTTTGGTGAGTTGTTGTGGGGGGCAGGGAGGTGCTGATTGAACCCACAACAGCTTATAAAAAGTCCCTATGTGGCCCTTGGGCCGGAATAATTGCCCACGCCTGCTCTAGGTCCTGGCAGCTGGTGGATGCAGCTATCCTGGCAGTGCACAAAACCCCTGGGGCTATGGGGATTGCAGCAGCCATGATCCTCCAGTCCCAAGGGTTTCACACACACTTAGGGTAGCTGCATGGGGTGCCCCGAAGGCTGGGAGCCTCTCAACTGAGCGGGCTCCTAGCCATGGGGACTTGTTTCTTCCCACTGCAGGGCCTGGGATTGGGCTCCCTCTGCACTGACAATAAGACACAATAGGATCTAATGCAGAATCCCATCATTGTACTTCATGCTATGTACATGTGGCATGGCAGGAGGCATGATTGTGTGGATCCTGCATTAGATGCCATTGCATCTTTACCTGCATGTGTAGAGGGGCCCTTGCTTGTCCCTATTTTCGGCATCACAACTGAACTTGTTGCAAATAAATTGCAACACCCTTCTCTTGCTTAACACAAGCCAACATAGATGTAAGCATATGAAGTATGATGTGGAGAGTTTTACCATTCAGATTTATACTTAGCCTTCAAACTCTGCCAAGAATGTGAACTCCAAGAATGTTTTCCATCTGGAGAAGAATACAGCAGTCCTTCTGAACATATGGTACCTCCCTGCTGGAGCTGCTTCTACGTACCATGAGAAATTTTCTTACTTTTCTTATTTTCTTATTTTTCTACGTACCATGAGAAATTTTCTTACATAGAAGAAATGCTTCTATGTACTTGAGAAATTTCTGAAATACTGGAAAACCATAAGTGTTCTTCATATCATAAAAGCAAGAAATCACCCATGTAAGAATAAGCTAGAGAAAGATGGTTAGGCATGTTAGTCTGAAGTCATACAGAAAGCAGGGTAGAGATGCACCATATATCTTATTCAGGGATGCATAAGCTTTCATGAGCCTGAACTCACTTCATCAGATAACATGAAAGGACAGTCTATCAAAGAGAGAGCTATTTGCAAACAAAAGGAAAAGTATGAGCTAACCAGTGATGAAAACTCTAACCCTAAATGTTACGTGTACAAAGCACTGGGTTGCATAATTATCTTCATAGATATTACTAAGGATCATTGTGTCACGCCTGTCCCTATTTTAGCACATGAAAAAGATGACAACGCTAACACTCTCCTCTATTTCCTCTCAATGTTTGCATTATACACTAGAAATCACTTACCTTTTAGAAGATTTTCCTCTTTTTACAATGCATGGAACACTTTTGAAGAATCAGAAAGACTTATGGGAACTGGCAATGATTTTTTGTTTCTTGTAAAAATTGACTTAGTTAATATTACACAATTTATGATTGGAGGATGATGAGAGAATGTATAACAAATGGAATTAATGCTAGAAAAACAGCCTCATGAATGGAGTCATTCTTGGATGTGAAAGGAAAAGGGTTACGTAGTTTGGCAGGCACTGGAAGGAATATGCATGTGTGTGTGTATGTACATTTTTCCTTTGCCACATTGTTAAAGTAGAGAACAAAAGAGCCTACACTCCCCTCCCTATTGCTTGACCCTGCCATGACTGTCTCCCATTCCACAACTGAGTGGTGCGTCACTTTGCTTGAACTGAACAAGGTGAAAGCAGTACCACCAGCCTCTCGCTTGTCTGAAACCTTTGCTTTTGAAGGAATCCACTGCACGGTTTCATTTAAAACTTCCTCTGGGTTTGAGTAAATTGAGCAGAGAAAAAAAATTCTGTTTTTCAGTTGCCTTTTAGCTGAACAAGGACAGCGATACATTAATCTTTCAGTTTACAGTTTTAGTTCTTTCCTTTTCTGTGTACGTGTAAGAATAAGTTAGAGATATAAACACACATACAGGTTTCCCTTGTTTTATGCAGGTTCTGTATGTGCAAACTCACTCTTATGCGATGACCCTTTTTATACCAAAAATTCATTATATGCAAGGTAAATTCACTCTTATGCAATTGGTGTAGTGGAAGCCCTCAGTCAGCTGTTTTGTGCACTGCATTGTGGGAGTGATGCACACCAAAATATAGTCTCCAATGTGAATCTGTGCCTCCCACTTGTCTGTGACACGTGTTTCTGTAGTTGCCACCCCCATTATGATAGTGCCCGGTGCTTATGTGTACTGTCTGCTGCTGGTAAGCACCAAAACTGTCTTGTAAAAGTGGTAGAAATGGGTCTGGGGGTCAGTACAGTTGAGGTCTTGGAACATTTCCCTATTTGTTACATTGTAAAGTGGGTTCCTTTTATGCCAGTGGTCACCAACCAGTCAATTTCGATCCACCGGTAGATCTTGGAGCCTCTTGTAGTTGATCTGAGGCTAAGGTGGGGGGCTGAGTGCCTGCATGCATGCGTGCATGTGCATGCCCCAGTTCAGCAGGTCAGTCTGTGGGGAAGGGAATGGGTGGGGATTAGATCAAGGCCCCCATGGTGAGGGACAGTGCTGGAGAGGCAGGAGCAGGGATAAGTTGAGTGAGGCCCCATCTGGGTAGGATTTACCTGCTAGGGAGGTGCACCCCCAAATAATTTTTTCTCCCTCTGCCTCGATCTGTCACCTTGCTTCCCTCCCCACAGGCTTACCTGCTGGGTGCGGGAGGCAGCACACAGCAAATCTTGGGTTGCTTTTAAATGCCAAAGGTGATCTCTTACTTCAAAAGGTTGGAGACCACTACTTTATGCGAATTCAAGTTATGCATCATTTTCCGGGAACACATGTACAGCATAAAGCAAGGGAAACCCGTATATATACATATAAACCTGTATATATACATATGCACACACACACATGCATACAAATATATATGAAACAAATTGTGAGCAGGCCCACAACACACGACTTAAATTTTACCATGGCTAATTGTAAACTGAATCAAGGAAGTTCTTCATAAAATAGGACAACTTTCTAATGAAATATATTCCTCTAATTTTATTACCAACAGCAAAGGCAGAAATTTTAGGGTATGGAATATGTCTATTCTCCATGGTAGCTTGCCCCATTTTTAATTAGGGGCAAAGTATCTCCTTCTTACTGCTGGTTGGGGGCCCAGGCAATTGTTACGGAACAGCTAAAGCACATAAGGTCACACAGTAGTTTACTTTGCTCATGTAGCCATATTCTTGGTTTTTCAATTAGCATCAGTGTTTCAAGAAATCAAACACAGTTTTATTCCTAGCAGGTAAGTGGCCTGTTATGCTACCTTGGGCAAAACTTTACATTTCATTGTAGATTTATTTACCTTGGCTTATTCTACCTATTAGATTGGAGGCTCCTGTGCAGGTCCCAGCACTGGTGAATGCCTGTACGCACCATTCTTGATGGGGTGCAGTGAATGTCTGTAAACACCCTGTGTTGTATGTGGGTACTTACAACTGCCATATTTAGATCAACATAACCAATGTTAGGTCAGTCTAAATGTCTGGGTGTGCAGGCATTTACCAGGCCTAAATTGCCTTAACAATGGTGTACCTGCTCTAAAGTTAGCTCACCTCAGGAGGTGAATTTAAGACTGACCTGGATTAACTTGATCTAAAATGGATTAACCTGGTTTAGTGAATGCCTCTATGCATTTACAGTTCATCACCTGGGCTAGAAAAGCCCAGCTACTTGCCCCAGCCCTGGGGCTATGCTGTTCCTATGCCCATGACCCTGAACCAGCTATTTTTAACTTCCAACTATTTTTAGCTTCTGGATAGGGCAACAAGCCCCCCACGGACCCACCAATACCCTCTACCCTGATCCACCAGTTCCCCTGGACCTGGCAAACCCTCCCCCACCCAAGTTCCACCAGTCCTTGCCCACACTCCAAATTACTTACCCTCAGGTTGCCTGTGTTTCTCCCAGAGGCGAATGTCTATACCTACTGCTCCTAGTTCAGGTTTAGGTGTCTTAAAGTAAGCCACTTAAACCTAAACTGGGTCCCATAAGTGCTTGCTCACACTCTGTGATGTCTAGCAAGGCATATTGCGTATTGCATAAAATAATGGTAGCAACACTCTACAGAAATTACATTTTGTGTGTATTAAGATATTACAATTCTGGTCTACTGTTGCCAACCCACATAATACAATTCATTTCCCATTTTATATCCTGTACAATATGTATAAGTACAATATGTATAGGGAATCCAGGATAATCCAAGGTATAAGTACTCTAGCAACAATTTTCCTTTACAATCTTAGCCACTGAGAAAAATGTTCTATGAGGTATTAAAATGAAAACCTAAAGCAAAAATAAAGTGTCAAAGTGTCAATTCAGCCCGTGCTTCACTTATCTAAATATCTCATTTTATTCTAAAGCTTAGTCTATCTCATTCAGAGAGCAGCTGGAAATCTTTCATTCATTGGAAAAACAAAAAGGCATGAGTCAAAACAATCTCAATGTCTTTTATTCTTTTCTTATATTGTCTGGGAGCAATTTTCTCAAGATTTATAATTTATTTGTCATCTTTTTTTTCAAAATCTTGACCTGTGCAGGAAGAGAAGAGAGACCTTTGCTTTAAAACTGAAAAACATAAACAACCTTGGAAAATGAATTTTTTACTCTTTTGATTTCACAAACATTACATACAAATTTTAAAGAATATATTATTGCTTAGATACTTAAAGATAAAGGAATGAGCATTGGAGCCATGTCTTCTGCAGAAAAAAATACTGGATCATTTGAGCCTGCAGGAACCATATATTAGCTGATTCAATTCAGACAACTAATTATTTTTAACTATTTAAAAAGAAGACAATGGGTATGTCCACTTGTAAATTTATGCATGCCTAAACTTAATGCACATTAGCCTAAGGCGACAGACTTAGGACTTGGCATACTGACAGGCACTGCTGCTGCCAGAACTTCCATTCCAGCTCCAGTATCTGCACCTTGAAGAACAGCACCCACCACTGCTTCTTCTTGGTGGCATCCAGTGGCAGTGCAGGGCCCTGTGGGCTTGGCTCTGGTCCACTTGGTTGGCATACAGTGTTAAGGCACCTTAAGACATCTACAGGTCCCTTAAAGCATCTTAATTATCCGTGCCTAAAACCTATACCTGCCTTAGCAGGCATCAAATTTAGGCATGATTAGCCTAAAATCACCATTTTGAAGGCACATTAAGGACATGGGTCTATATGTGTGTGCCCTTAATGTGCCTTTAAAATAGTAATTTTAGGCCAATCACACCTAAAAGAGGCATGTGTAGACATGCCCAATATATACAAAAAACACCAGGTGTGGGAACCTTTCCCAAAATGTTAAAGCCAGCCTCCACACAACAGTACAAAGTCCATTCTGCCAAATCAGTAAGAGACTCCAGAATAAAATAAAATCCAGAAATATTCTCCTGTATCGCACAAATATTAGTTCCAAGTGTTTTCCCCCTTTTCCCAAAAGCCTGAGCAAATACATAGACCCTTCTGTGTGCTCTATATATTATCAAGTTTGGGCTACATCACACCAAATAAGGGAAGTACCATTATTTTTAATGGTATTTTTATTTTTAGGCTAATGGTAATAGTATTTTTAGTTTTAGGCTAATCATGCCTAAATTT